CTCAGAGGTCCCCTGTAAGAACTGACTGATGGGGCAGATAATTTACTGGTTACAGTGGGACTTGCCTGATTCTGTATCACTAAGGCAGCATAGAGAGCCACCTCCTGCTGTGCAGGGAGACCAGCTCTAGGCATGGAGTGGAGAAACCTTTTGAGTCTTATATATAGCAAGACACTGACAAGAGTTGACAGATGGGGCAGGAGATGAGGGAATTAAGGGATTTGCCCACTTGCCTTCATTTGACCTCTCTGCAGTCAGATTACCCGTCCTAACTCTCCACATGATGCTCTAATGAGAAGGGGATGACTGTAGTGACCCCTAGCAGGGCAGAGCTTTTGCGTCATCCTCGGAAGGATGACAGATGGTGTTGAGCCAGAGGCACTCCCTACTGCAGACTCCCTGATAATCCCTGATTGTTTGCAAAAAGGCAGACTGCGGTCAAGGAGTCTAGATTCAAGTGTATATTATAGGCAGTCGTGAGCTTAAATTCTGTGTGAATGAGTTTGGTTGGTTTTTTTTTTGTTTTTTTTTGTTTTTTTTCAGAGTCTCACTCTGTCGCCCAGGCTGGAGTGCAGTGGTGCCATCTTGGCTCACCTCAACCTCTACCTCCTGGGTTCAAGTGATTCTCCTGCCGCAGCCTCCTGAATAGCTGGGACTACAGGCGTGTGCCACCACGCCCAGCTAAATTTTTTTTTTGTATTTTTAGTAGAAACGGGGTTTCATCATGTTGGCCAGGATGGTCTTGAGTTCTTGACCTCCTGATCCATCCACCTCAGCCTCCCAAAGTGCTGGGATTACAGGTATGAGCCACACGTCCAGCCAAATTTGTTCTTTTTTTTTTTTTTGGGAGAGTCTCAATCTGTTACCAGGCTGGAGTGCAGTGGCACGATCCCAGCTCACTGCAACCTCTGCCTCCTGGGTTCAAGCGATTCTCCTGCCTCAGCCTCCCGAGGGAGTAGCTGGGACTACAGGTGCACGCCACCATGCCCAGCTAATTTTTGTGTTTTTAGTAGAGACGGGGTTTCACCATGTTGGCCAGGATGGTCTCGATCCTCTTGACCTTGTGATCAAGGTCATCCTTGACCTCGCCTCATCCTCCCAAAGGGCTGGGATTACAGGCGTGAGCCACCACACTGGGCCGAGTTTGTTCCTTTTTAAAGGCAACAGATTCAATATTTAATGTAGTTTAAAATACATCAAAAATTAAATTCCTGCCTGTTGTGAGTATTGCTAAACGAAGGATAGATACTAGCCTTGATCTTACCCAAAAGGCCAAGAAGTGATGTGTGAATGAGTTCTTAATTCTTGGCTTTCAGGTTTAGTAGATACTGTTGACTAATACTAAGTGACTTTCTGACCAACAGTGAATGAGAGTTATAGATGTTCCACATCCTCATCAACACCTGATATTGTGAAACTTTTTAATTTTAACTTTAAATTAATGGTTGTGTGTTTGTGTAGTGGTATCTCATTGTTTTATTTTGCATTCCTCTGATGACTAATGAAGTTAAACAACTTATCATATTGGCTATTTGGATATCCTCTTTTGTAAAGTGCCTATTAAAAATCTCTTGCCCATTTCTTATTGTTTATAGAAGTTCTTTGTATATACTGGATATCAGTCCTTTGTCAGATAGATGTGTTGCAAATATCCTCTCCCACTCTGTGATTTGTTTTTGTTTTTGTTTTAACTCTCTTAATGGTGTAATCTGATGAATGGAAGTTCTTTTTTTTTTTTTTTT